CTGATGCAGGGGACACGGGTTCGTGCCCCAGTCCGGGAAGATCCCACATGCCGCGGAGTGGCTAGGCCCATGAGCCATGGCCGCTAAGCCTGCGCGTCCGGAGCCTGTGCTCCGCAACGGGAGAGGCCACAACAGTGAGAGGACCGCGTACTGCAAAAAAAAAAAAAAAAAAAATACAGGCCAAAGATCTTAATAAACACCTCACCAAAGAAGACATACAGATGTCAAATAAGTCTATGAAAAGATGCTCCACATCATATATCAGGAGAATGCAAATTAAAACGAGATACCATCACACACCTAGTAGAATGGCCAAAATCTGGAACACTGACAACACCAAATGCTGGTGAGCATGTGGAGCAACAGGAACTCTCATTCATTGCTGCTGGGGATGCAAAATGGTACAGCCGCTTAGGAAGACAATTTGAAGGTTTGTTACAAAACTAAACATAATCTTACCATATGATCCAGCAGTTGCAGCCCTTGGTACTTATCTAAACGAGTTCAAAACTTATGCCAACACAAAACCTTCACCAGAATGTTTACAACATCTTTATTCATAATTGTAAAAATCTGGAAGCAACTAGCACATTAGTAAGTGAATGAATAAATAAACTTTGGTACATCCAGGCACTAGAATATTATTCAGTACCACAAAGAAATGGGCTCTCAAACCATGAAAAGACACGGAGGAACTTGAAGGGCACATTACTAAGTGAAAGAAGGCAATCTGAAAAGGCTGCATGCTGTATAATTTCAACTCTGGAACCTTCTGGAAAAGGCAAAGCTATGGAGACAGTAAAAAGATCAGTGGTTGCCAGGGTTTGTGTGGGGGAGGGGAAGGGATAAGTAGGCAGAGCACAGAGGATTTTTAAGGCAATAAAAATACTGACACCATAAAGATGGATACGTGTCACTATACATTGGCCCAATCCTACAGAGCGCACACCACCAACCCTAAGGTGAACGATGGACTCTGGGTGATTACGCTGTATCACTGCAGGTTCATCAGTTGTAACAAACGCCCCACTCCGGTGGGAGATGCTGATAAAGGGGGAGGCTATGCACGCGGGTGGGGCAGGGAGCAAACGGGAAATCTCTGTAGCTTCCCCTCAGTTTTGCTGTGAACCTAAAACTGCTCTGAAAAAAAGTGTCTAAAAAAAAGTTGTTCTTTGAAAGAGAAATGGGTGGATCTCATACCACTCACCCTATTCAACATTCTACAGTGGTTCCCCAGTGCTCTGAGAATAAGCAAATACCCTTCTGTGGCCTACAGGCTGTGTGGTCTGACCCCTTCCTGGCTCCCCCATCACATCTCCACCTCTCTCCACTCATCCCCCAAGCTCTAGCTCCACTGGTCCACTCTGCCCTCCTCAGGCTTCAGAACTGACTACTCCCCCTACGATCGATCGTTCATCTCTCTCCACACACCAGGCTTCAGAAAGGCCTTCCCTGATCAGATCACTCACAGTATCCATCAGTCCCCTCCTCCTTCTAACATATCATCTTGTTTATGTCCTTCATAATTCTCATCACAACCTTTAATTACTTTATTTGATAAACAGTTTAATGATCATCTCTCTCATGAGAGTGTAAGCAACATAAACCCTCTCTTGTTTACCAATGAAAAGCCTTGTACGTTAACAATATCTTTGGCACGGAGTAGATGTTCAGTAAAGATTTGTTGAATGAATAAGTAAAATGTTAACTTCAGGTCTTACTGCAAAAAAATATCTCAATCCAATCTTTAAAATCAATAATGCTTCCCTGGTTCTGAATATTTCCATTAAAAATATAAAACATCAAAACATTCTTCTTTGAGGCAGGATAATTCTCTCCCCCATTAACACCACAATCCCATACACCTGGAAGGTGGAAGCTGACCTTCACGCTGACTGATAGCACCCAAATGCCTGATGGGCAGTTTTTAAAAACTGGAGCTAGGACTAATAACACATAGTCTAAATCATCCACTTAGTACAACGATCGGAAGTTGCCAGAGCACCCTGACAGCTCTAATGGTTTAAGGGTTCTATCCAAAATCTCTAGGAAGTGACAGTTAGTCACTCCCTGTTGCAGGGTCTTTTTTTTTTTTTAACATCTTTATTGGAGTATAATTGCTTTACAATGGTGTTTTAGTTTCTGCTGTACAACAAAGTGAATCAGCTATACATATACGTATGTCCCCATACCTCCTCCCTCTTGCGTCTCCCTCCCATACAGTCTATTTTTAAAGTCTGGCTACAACATCCACTGTTCTTTTAAATGTTAAAATCTTATGGCTGAACATAATGAGATGGAGGCAGTCATTTATCTTCCAGATGAGGTTTTGTCACTTTTCTGATCCCAAGCCCGCTGGCTAGCCAGTGCTCAGAATCTAAAGCCTGATGACAGTATGAAGCTGAGCAGTTCAACAAACCGGTCCGCATCCAGCTTCATCTCAGGCCACTCTTCCATCCACATACTCCACACTGCAGCCACAGTGAGCTTCCCACCACAGTCCCTGAACACACCATGACCTGTGTGTCTTTGCAAAGTCCCTTTCATTCCTTCCCCGTCCCCCATACACATCTTGTAAGAACAAGTTCTCCACAGGAAGCCTTCAGCCTCCCTCTTTCACAGAACGCTATGAGGGCAGTTATCACAGGGCACCATCATGATTTGTTCTCTATCTTCCTCAATGGCTTCTTTCTAGTCTTCATCTACATCCTGTTCATCCACAAATTTGCAGCGCTTCAAAAGACCAATAGGGAGTGTGGTACAATCAACGCTCAACACATATCTGCTGAATTAATCTCCTTCAAAACACTGAGCCAGAATTCCCCAAGTCTGACAGAACGAAACAGAAAGCCACTCTACCTCAGTTACGTCCATGATTATGCAAAAATTCACTGGTCTCTTATGTCTGGATCCAAAGAATACGTTCATTTAAAATTGACACACACTTGCAACAACAGCTCACTTCTACCTCAGCAGTTCACAGAGCCATCAACTACTCCCTCTGGATTCTATCAAGCTCCTTGAGCTCCACTATATCTAGAAATCTCTCCATCCTTGACTCCGAAGCTTGTCTTCATTATGTAACTGTTTCCTCATCTGTTCTTCACTTATTCTAAGTTTAATCAACTGCTCTGCCTGACACCTGTTTCCTTCCCTTTTTCCTCATGAAGTTCCAGGAGCCATTTTGCTCAAACTACATAGAAGCTAATATGAAATGAGACCTTCCTCAAACTTGAAGTGTAATTTCTCTAAGAGAAAACTGAAAACAAATCCAGTAGGAGCCAATCTTCTATTGAAAAAGACAATGTGACAACAAAATAACTTAAACCTAACAAAAGCTACTTACTAGTCACTCCTTCAGAAGAGGACTTTCCTTATCCCACCACCAGTCTCCAAGCCAGTCCTGAAAACTCAAATAGAGCATCCCCTGTATCTATGTCTGCTGGTTCTCAAGTCTGAAAGTTCCCTGAGGGCAGGGACTGGGTCTGTCTGGTCCACCACAGCATCCCTAGAAGCTGGTATGTGGCTGGCATACAACAGGCCCCAAATAACGATCTGCTGAATGAACCAACAAGAGATGTTGGGGAAAAAAAAAAGCAAGGTCAGAACTTTGTCAAGGTACATTGTAGCTGGGTGAGAGAAAGTACAAAATGCCTTGCAGCTCCCTGCAGGAGTCACTGGTGACCACAAGGGCTACAGTGGCTTTATTCCCCGATTCTGCCCATGCTGGGATCTGGGTTTGGGGATTTCCAGAACTCCTTTCCTTAAAGTTCTTAAGACCTTGGCTACAAGGAGGAAGTTAACCCCAAGGGCAACTGATCACTCCAGCAGATAAGGCAAAGGTGCATCCATGCTGGTACCCCACGTTCTGCCTACAAATGTTAACAGAAGCAACAGAACAGAATAAAATTCCTGAATCTCAGCGACAAAGTGAGGAAGAACAAAGGGAAGGGAAGAGAAAAGGAAGTAGGGTATGTGGGTAAGGAGAGCAGGGGCTAGCCTTTATTGAAATGGACCACGTGCCAGGCACGGTGCTGAGCAATTCACACGCACTGACCCATTTAATCCTTCCACCAAGCCAGAGCTAGAAACTATTACCATCTCTACTTTACTGATAATGAACCTGAAGTTTAGTGAGACATCACTTGCCCTGAGCACACAGCTAGGAAGGGGCAGCACTGTGAGCCGGGTCTGACTCGAGGGTACCCCACTCTTCAACCTGCACTCACTATTCTGCCTCTGAGGCCTTAAGGCAGGACTGGGAGACGAGTCGTTCATTTATCCATTTAACGAACACTTACTGAGCACCTACTGGGTACATGCCAAGGCGTGGTGCCAGGCGCTGGTGGGCGGATGAAGGGACGGGGACTGAGAGGGGGGACTGAGAGGGTCGGGGGATAAGACGCAGCGTCAATCGTTAGACCACGGAGCTCGGCGCCTCGGGCCCGCGGCGCAAAGGGGATGCCAGGGTGCGGCACAGGGGAGGGAAAGCGCGGAAGGGGAGGGGCGAGCGAGCCGGGTCGCGTGGGGCGCAGGGCCCGCGGGAGGCGTCGGCCGACCCGCGGCGCCCAGGAGAGGTGGGCGACGACCACTCCCTCGGCGGACTGACAGCTTCTGCCAGGCTGGCAGCCCGGCGCTTCGTGTGCCACGGCATTCGGCCTCGGCCGTCCGGCACGGGCGAGACGGAGTCCGGGAAACGGAGGGAAACGGGCAATGAGACCCTGAGGCGAGGGAGAGTGGCCCAGGGGCTGCGTGAGCGGCAGCGGGAAGGCCGAGGAAGGGGCGCGGGGCCGGGCGGTGGGGCGGGCGGCGTCGCGGGCGGCGTCGCGGGACTCACCTCCCGCTGCAGCCCCTCCGGACTCTTCGGCCCGGCCGGGCCGGAGGAGGCCGGGATGAACTCCGAGCCGCGGGGACTGCCGGGAGCCCGTTCCCTGGGCAACGGGGCCGGCACCGACGAGCGGCAGCTGGCTCCGCCGGCGGCTAGAGCGGCAGAGCCTCAGGAGGCGATGGGCGGGACGGAAGTGACGTAGACGGACTTCCGGCGTGCGTAGGCGGGGCTCCGGGTCTCTTTCCTGGGATCTCTGCAGCCAGCATGGAAGGTGCGTGAGAAGGGCAAGTTCCCCCAGGCAGGGAGGGTACCATTGTTATAGTTTGATCTTCGGGCTGAATGGCGGTCCGTCCCTTGCCCCAGCCCAGCCCGCTGGCCCCGATCAGGCTCTGCGGTCGGCCCGGGATTCAGTTTTGCCGAGCCTCGATTTTTTCATGTGTAGAACGAGATGATGCAAAGGAGTGTTAGCAGATCCTGACACTCAAATTCTAATTGTCGTTATAAATTAGCACCAGCGGAGCACTTTCCCTGAACTCCCCTCAGAATTCCCGGCTACAGAGCTTTCTGCTTGTAATAAAAGCTATCATTCAGCGAGCGCTCACTGTGCGCCAAGTCGTGTTCTAAGTACTTTCAGTGGATCAGATCGTTTGAGGCGCACAGCGATCCCATGAAGTAACGTCAACAGGTGGGGAGTCGAGGCTCGGAGGGGATAAGTAACGTAGTCACTATACTACTGCCCTGCCCTGTGATTGATAACTGATCTTTCCCAGCTAGACTGTGAGTTTCTTGAAGTCAGAATATTGGTTTTGATTCCTAAATATGTGCTGGGTATGGGTCAGACACGATGAATCACACGTGGTCCTCGCCCGCAAGGAGCCCCTACTGGGGGAGGGAAACCCTTAGAAGATTATAGTACAGGTGGTAAGAGCTTTTCTTCCGTTTAACACATTCTAGTCAGCACCTACTAGGTGCTGAGATTATGAGAGGGACCAAGACAGTCTTAGTCCCTACTCTGGTGGAACTTAACAGTCTATCAAGGAATGTACTAGACATTAAACACGCAAATACACTACACTGGTGAGTGTCATGAATGAAGCTGAATGAAGTACAGCGTGTTCCAGATATATAGTGCAGTGAGTCCTTACCCAACCTGTGGATCTAGGAGGACTTCTTTGTGGAAGTGACTTTCTAAAAACCTACATCAGATCATGTCACTTCCCAACTCAAAGCTTACTGCTTGCTTTCCATTGACTTGGAATAAACCCAAACTTATTATCTTGGACTATAAGTTTCTAGCTGTCTGACTGTCTCCTCTCTCTCCATTTCATTCTAGCCACACTGGTCTTGTTCTTTTTTCACACTCACCAAGCTCATTCTCACCTTAGGGCCTCTGCTGTTGACTTGTCATCATTCAGGTTTCAGCCTAAATGACAACGTCTCAGGGGTTCACGCTAACACAAGACCCTGTTTTATTTTGTGGCACTTATGATCTAAACTGACGATCATCTAATTGTCTGTTATCCACCTCATCTTTGGAAAGTAAGTTCCATGAAAATGGTCCTGGTCTATCTAATTTAGTCACTTCAGCCCCCACAGCTGGCATAATGTAGGCACTTGGCGAATATTGGTTAGTTGTATAAGTAAAGAGTGAATGAAAAATCAATATGATATTTAAAAGTGGAGCTCCTAGGTAACCTAAGGATGGGGGCTGGTTGTCAGGGGAGCCAACCATGTGATTAGAGAGTTGGAACTTTCAGTCCCACCCCACCAAAGCCCCATCTCCAACAAGGCAAGAGAGGCTGGAGGTTAAATCAGTCACCAATGGTCAGTCATTTAATCAATCCTGCCCATGTAATGAAGCCTCCATAAAAAAACAAAAGCAAAGGGTTGTGAGAGCTTCTAGGTTGGTGAACAGGTGGAGACGCAGGGAGAGTGGCACTTGGAGAGAGCTTGTCAGCTCTGTACCCCTGCCCACGTACGTTACCCTATGCATCTCTTCCATCTGGCTCTTTCTAGTAATCTAGTAAGTAAAATGTTTTCCTGAGTTTTCTGTGAGCCACTCTAGCAAATTAATCAAACCCTAGGGAGGGGGGGTCTTTGGAACCTCCGACCTATAGCTGGTAGGTCAGGAGCACAGGTGACAACCTGGACTTGAGACAGGTGTCTAAAGTGGAGGCGGGGGAGGAGTCTTACAGGACTGAGTCATTAACTTGTGGAATCTGATGCCGTCTCCAGATAGATAGCGTCAGAATTGAATTTACTGCTTGGTGGTAGTGGGAAAAACACGTTGGAGATGCCCTTGTGGTAATACATCCTATGCTGGATATTTGCCATGTGCCAGGCCCTCACACCCTCACAGCTTTACATATATGTATATGTTTTATTTGGGGGTTTTTTGGCCGCGCTGTGTGGCGTGTGGGATCTTAGTTTCCCGACGAAGGATCGAACCCGCGCCCCCTGCAGTGGAAGCGTGGAGTCCTAACCACTGAACTGCCAAGGAACTCCTAGGTTCATATATATTATCTGATCTTCACATCAACTCTTTGTAGTAGATATATTTTATCCCCATTTTACAGATAGGCACTTTGAGGCTCTGAGAGGTTAACTAACTTAACCCAAGATTGTACAACTGGCAGTGACAGAGCTGGGATTCAAACCCAGTCATTCTGGTCTTCAGAGTCTAGACTCCAAACTATACTGCCATTGGTTGTCCTGGATTCCTTAAGGGGCCTCTCTCAGAATTTGGACCTTATCCTGTGGGCCATGAGACGCCTTTGAAGGATTCTAAGTAGAGAAGAAGAGAGGGCACAGGAGGGCTGGGAGGGCCCAAAGAGCCTGAGTGGTCTGGGTGTTGCTTCCCACAGGAGCTGGGATCTGGGTGAATCCTGGGGTATGGGCAGCATTAGCCCGAGGAAGGAAAGAGCTTTCTAGCAGAGAGAACTGCACATGCAAAGGACTTTTCAAGAGCTGCCAGTAGTTGACTTTAGCTAGAGATCGAGGGGCTTCAAGGTCGGGGTTGAGGTGAGTGTTGAGGCAGAGAAGTAGCCAGGTCCTGAAGGACTTTGGACCTCCTCCTGCATTCCTAGCGTGGAGATCATCACCGCATCTCTGGGGTTCAGCTTGTCAGTGTGTTGGAGTGATGAACTCTGGTGACCCACAAAGCTCTGAGCAAACGTCAGGTATCAAAGTTCCAGAGACTGGAGAACGGGCGCGGTAAGGCAGGGGCATCGGAGCCTCGCAGCGGAAAGTCACAGTTCCACCTCCTTCCCAACCTTTGAAAGTGGTCAGAGTGTTCGGGGTAAAACTTTGTGGAGCCGTTAAACTTCGAGAGGATTTGTATATCTGGTGAGACCTAAAAAACATAAAAGCAATTCTGTTTCGTCTTGTTGCAGGGACTTTCACATTCACCCACACGTCTTCGTTTCCACTACGTGTTTTGTTCAGTGGATGTAGTGTTGCCAATAGTTTTACTGTTGCAAATTAGAATAGTTTGGGTTTTCCCCCCAACCGCGATCACGAATTTCATAATATTATGTTTCTTTTGCTCCCTATCAGCAAAGACTCTTGGAAGTGCAACGCCCAGGAAACCTGTCTTATCTGTCAGTGCAAGGAAAATTAAGGACAATGCGGCCGATTGGCATAATTTAATCCTGAAATGGGAAACCCTCAATGATGGAGGTTTTGCAACTGCAAATAATATTGCCAACCTGAAAATCAGTTTATTGTAAGTACCTACAAAGTGTGCTCTGTATGCTTCACCCTTAATGATTGGGCAGAAATTTCATGGCAGTCTTTTAGAATGGGAAGGGTAGTCTCTAGGAACATGGATAAATTATATAAAGCAAAAAAAGCAAGTGATAAAATAGTGCATGCAACTATGAACTGTGTATGTACATTTTAAATGCAAAATTATACAACAAATTGTTCATGGTTACATCTGTATATAAAATTATAAAAATGGATTGGAAGGATACAGACTCAATTCATGACACTGGTATCTTCTAGGAAGAAGTATCACTTCATAATGCTGCATTTTATTTCTGTGGTATTGTGATTTATAGTAAAAAATACATATGTTTCGTCTTTGTCCCTTCCTGACACACGGCTCTTAAAACCCTTATAATATCCTTAGGGATGTGAGCAATGGGAGAATCTTTAGTTATGCTGAGATTTGTTCTTTCGTTCTCCAGTTCCTGGACTAGCTCCAGAGTGGTAAAGGGGAAAGGAGTCTCCTGTTATCATAACAAACCCCTTTCTACCACACCTGAGTTCGTGTTAATGAGGGGGCTTCTGGAAAACCCTAAGGAGGGAGGCAGTAACCACGTGACTAGAGTTGGCCCTATCAGCCCCACCCCCTTACCTCACCTCTAGGGAGGTGAGAAGGGCTAGAAGTTGAATTAATCACCGATGGCCAATCACTTAATCAATCATGCCTTCATAACGAAGCCTCCGTAAAAACCTAAAAGGACGGGGGTTTGGAGAGCTTCTGGGTTGGGGAACCAGAACGCTTCCATGTGCCTGAAGGGAAATGTACCCCAGACTCCTCAGGGACAGAAGCTCCTTTGCTCAACCTTCCAGACCTTGCTTGAGTACCTCTTGTCTACAGGTATATGAATAAAGGATACGAATAAAGGATATTGGTATCCTTTAATATCCTTTGTAATAAACCAGTAGTCTAGAAAGTAAACTGTTTTCCTGAGTCCTGTGAGCTGGTCTAGCAAATTAATTGAACCCAAGGAGGGGGTCGTGGGAACTTCCAATTGACAGCTGCTCCGTCCTAAGCACAGGTAACAACCTGAACTTGTGATTGGTGTCTGAAGTTAAGACGGGGGCAGTCTTGTGGGACAGAGCCCTTAACCTGTGGGATCTGATGCTGTCTCTGATAGATAGTATCAGGATTGAGTTACACTGTAAGACACCCAGCTGGTGTCTGGAGAACCTGAGAATTGCTTGGTGTGGAGAAGCGCCCCCCTCCCTTTGATGACCAGGTGTCAGAAGTAGAGAGGGGTATTCAGAGCAGAGGAGACACACAAGAGCATGTTTTCCCTTAGCAAGTTCTTCTAAAAAGACAAAGGAGTACAGATTGCCAACACACATGAAAGGATGCTCAACATCATCAATCATTAGAGAAATGCAAATCAAAACTACAATGAGATATCATCTCACACCGGTCAGAATGGCCATCATCAAAAAATCTAGAAACAATAAATGCTGGAGAGGGTGTGGAGAAAAAGGAACGCTCTTGCACTGTTGGCAGGAATGTAAATTGATACAGTCACTATGGAGAACAGTATGGAGCTTCCTTAAAAAACTAGAAAGAGAATTACCATACGACCCAGGAATCCCACTACTGGGCATACACCCTGAGAAAACCATAATTCAAAAAGAGTCATGTACCAAGATGTTCATTGCAGCTCTGTTTACAATAGCCAGGACATGGAAGCAACCTAAGTGTCCATCGACAGATGAAAGGATAAAGAAGATGTGGCACATATATACAATGGAATATTACTCAGCCATAAAAAGAAACAAAATTGAGTTAATTGTAGTGAGGTGGATGGACCTAGAGACTGTCATACAGAGTGAAGTAAGTCAGAAAGAGAAAGACAAATACCATATGCTAACACATACATGGAATCTAAGAAAAAAAAATGTCATGAAGAGCCTAGCGGTAAGACGGGAATAAAGACACAGACCTACTAGAGCATGGACTTGAGGATATGGGGAGGGGGAAGGGTAAGCTGTGACAAAGTGAGAGAGTGGCGTGGACATATATACACTACCAAACGTAGGGTGGATAGCTAGTGGGAAGCAGCCGCATGGCACAGGGAGATCAGCAAGGTGGTTTGTGACCACCTAGAGGGGTGGGATAGGGAGGGTGGGAGGGAGGGAGACGCAAGAGGGAAGAGATATGGGAACATATGTATATGTATAACTGATTCACTTTGTTGTAAAGCAGAAACTAACACACCATTGTAAAGCAATTATACTCCAATAAAGATGTTAAAAAAAAAAAAGACGGGTTATGGAAAAAAACTGTTGACAGTTGCCAATTCTAATTGGAAGATTTGCTTTACTGTTCTTGCACTTTCCTATATATAGGTTTTTGGTTTTTTTTAATCAGCTTTGCTTATGCAAGACCTCAAAAAATTTAAGCAAGACTCAAGCTTGTTCCTACCCACGAGAATCTTTAGTAAAATGCAAAAGATTTATATGATCTGAAGAGAAACATGAGTATGGATCTATATATGTGTAGTTTTAATTTCTCAAAGTTGTAATTATATATTTGTATATCTTTGTCTACTGGCCAGAGTCTAGAGTCTTAACTTTCTGGCCTGGGCCCCTGGCTCTTTCCAGTTCTTTCAAACATATCTCACATGTCGGCCCTCTGCCGCCTTTTCCTGCTTAGCAAGTTCTATGAAACAGTTCTTACCTTACTGCATAAGATGCTCTCTGATATTTTCTATTCTAATGTTTAATTTTTTTCCTTAAACTTCTTTTTTTTTTTTGGCCATGCTGCACGGCATGTGGGATCTTAGTTCCCCAACCAGGGATCCAACCCTTGTCCCCTGCAGTGGAAGCACAGAGTTTTAACCACTGAACCACCAGGGAAGTCCCTAATTTTGTTCCTTAATTGTTGATTGTGGCCCCACTAGATTTATTTCAGGTGCTGTGGGTCACAGCCTTCCGTTTACAAAACGCATTCCTAGCTGGTGGACTCTGAGGAAATGATCCGTGTCTTACCCCCTGAGGATGCCACAGGGCTGGATTGAATTGACTTGTTCTAGGGCAGAATTGAGTAGCGGATGGACATATTCGTTGTGTATATAAATAACATGTAAACGTGATGACGTGAAATGACGCCAATGGAAAAAGTCGATGATGACGTCAGTACATGGATATTGAGTTTTCGAGGGTTCATCACAACGAAATGAAGCGAGCCTGTGGAGTGTATTTTGTTCCCACTCTTTTCCATCTTGTCCAGGAGCAAAGACACGATAGGATTAGAGAGCAGCAGCCTGGCTTCTGATGAAAATGCAGAAAAGGAGCACCCAGAATACAGCAGGGAGCTCGAGATGCTGTGCGAGGGGCTGCAGACCACCCTGGATGCTTTGGTAAGGTGCAGGGATCCTCGGGTGTCGCGTTTGCACAAGCACCTTGCAGCATTCCACGTGGTTGGTTGTGCTTTCCTTCACCAAGCTTTCGTTTTTCCTTCCTCAACCTCCTCCATTGGTCTCTCTCGCTCCACGTGTCCCATAAATCTTGTTTCCCAAGAGGCTGTCCTAGACCTTGGTTCTTCTGGTTCTGCACGTTGCCAGGGCAATTTCACCCACTCCCAGGCTCCACAGGAAGTGTGTCAGGCTTTGGGGACCCTGCAGGCACTCTGACCTCTACTCATCGACAGTACAGAGGCAAGTGGGTGCGGCTGTGTTCCCATAAAACTCTATTTATGGATGCTGAACTTTGCATTTCAGATAATTTTCACGTGTCACAAAATATTCTGCTTTTGATTTTTTTTTTCCAACCACTTAAAAATGTAAAACCCATTCTTAGCTCAAGGGACACACAGAAATAGGCTTTAAGCTGGATTGGGCCTGTGAGCCTTGATCTTGCACATAAGAGATGCTCTTATATGTTTGTTTAAAGTCTGGATGCCAGTACCCACCATGCTGGCCACCACATGTGCACGAAACACCTCATCTCAACCAGACACAGGGATAAGGTTTTGCACATCTTTGAACTAACTAACTAAAGCTTCCCACAAACATAGAAAGTCTGTATAGTTTAACGTTTCTTGATGGAAATGTTTCTAATGTTTTACATGCTTCCTTGCCTTTTTAAACAGAATATGTCAAATATAATTGTATTTCTTCAAGATACCACTTATTCAAAGTTAGGGTGCCACATATTATGAGGCAGACTATAGGTTTAAGAGTTTTTCAGGAAAGAAGCACTGCCCTTTTAAACATCACATCCATTGTAAGATGTAATGGTTTCTGAAACATTAAAATGAGAAAAATAAATAGTGCATTGAGAACATTTTGGTGATTTAGCCTTTTCTTTGCTTGAAATGCAATATTGTCTTCAAGATATCTTGCCCTGTATGGGGCTATTTGTCTCCTCTAAATAAATGATTAGGTTTTTGTAGTTGTCCCGTCTGTTTTGTGATGCTGCCTGTGGATTGTGCTGTGATAAGAAACACTTGCCCCCCCTGCCCAGGCTCTCCACCTCGTGCTCAAGCAGGAACAAGACAGGCCTGGGTCATCAGTCACTTTGTTTTAAGCCCCACTCACAGGAAGGCTGGAGGATAAGGTGTGTGAGCTTGGTGTTTTCCTTGTTTTATCTCCAGGTTCACAGCTGTGTCTCCAGTAGTTGAGTTCTAGACCTAGACTTCTGGACCAGTAGAGAATTAACACAGGCAGAGTAATCAATCGAAATTTCCAGAATAACCCAATTGAAAACTGACCACATGTATGTTTTTTCCCCAAATTAACCCATTTGATTATGGCAAGTGGTTTTGTTTGGACCAAGCATGGGCACACATATTGTTTGAAAGAGAAGAAACTGAATGGCTAAGTTCCTATATTGAAATATTTTATTTATTTATTTCCTGGTCACACTTAGCTTTTTTTTTTAAATTAATTAATTTATTTATTTATTTTTGGCTGCTTTGGGTCTTTGTTGCTGTGCACGGGCTTTCTCTAGTTGCGGCGAGTGGGGGCTACTCTTCCTTGTGGTGCGTGGGCCTCTCATTGCAGTGGCTTCTCTTGTTGCAGAGCATGGGCTCTAGGCGCATGGGCTTCAGTAGTTGTGGCACGCGGGCTCAGTAGTTGTGGCTCGTGGGCTCTAGAGCGCAGGCTCAATAGTTGTGGCACACGGGCTTAGTTGCTCCGTGGCATTGGGGATCTTTCTGGACTAGGGCTCGAACCCGTGTCCCCTGCATTGGCAGGCAGATTCTTAACAACTGCGCCACCAGGGAAGTCCCACACTTAGCTTTTAATTGTCAGTTTTTCTTTTTGTTGTTTCACTGAAGTATAGTTGATTTCCAATGTTGTGTTTCTGGTGTACAGCAAAGTGATTCAGTTAGACATATAAATACATATTCTTTCTCATATCCTTTTCCATTATGGTTTATTACGGGATATTGAATATAGTTCCCTGTGTATACTGAAATACTTTAAATAGCCAACAAAGTTAAACACACGATGCTGGGCTCAGTCATTTGTTGTTAGATGTGGCAACACTCCCACCAGAACCTCTTCATCCTTGACCTTCCATCTTCCTTTCTGGCATAAAACACTTCACAGAGGGCTTCCCTGGTGGCGCAGTGGTTGAGAGTCCTCCTGCCGATGCAGGGGACACGGGTTCGTGCCCCAGTCCGGGAAGATCCCACATGCCGCGGAGCGGCTGGGCCCGTGAGCCATGGCCGCTGAGCCTGCGCGTCCGGAGCCTGTGCTCCGCAACGGGAGAGGCCACAACAGTGAGAGGCCCGCGTACCGCAAAAAAAAAAAACAAACATTTCACAGAATCCCCAAACTGGGTTAAAATGAGAAACACTTTTGACATATACTAATGTGACTTTTATAAAATGTGAAAACCCTGGGAAGGATTTTGTTTCTAAATGCCATTTGGCTTTCTTTAGTTCACAAGTCCTCATTTATAACTCTACCTATGCACACCTCGTTAGGGAAGAGCGCCTGCGCGGGACGAGGGGGAAGAGGTATTTTGCCTTCCATTTCAGGCATGTCAGGAATGACTGACTGGTTTTACTTGTCCATCCTTGGTTCTCCCCATTCTTAAGTGGCTGTCTGGTACCACGGGACCCCTTCCTCAGTCCCACTGACCCGCACGGAGGGGGGTTGGCCTGGGAGGATGTTAGGAGGTAGAGTCAAGGTCCAGAACATCCAGCCAGCGGCTTGATGGACTGAGCAGTAACAGGTGACACGTCCTGTCCCTGGTCCCTCTACCCACAGCACGGGTCCAGGGTGAGGGGGTGTGGCCTGGCAGGGCAGCTGAAAGTGGCTGCAAGGTTTTAGGTGACTGCGTGCCCATAGTGACCTGAGTTCCCAAGGTCTTCAGACAAAGCCTGGGCTGACCACGGGTGCTAGTTGTCAGGCCCCAAAGTTCTGCTCCAGTGAATTTATTCTATTTTAAAGTGGTTTGAGGGACTTTCCTGGCAGTCCAATGGTTAAGACTCTGCACTTTCACTGCCGGGGGTCTGGGTTCGCTCCCTGGTCAGGGAACTAAGATCCCGCAAGCCGTACAGCGCGGCCAAAATATAAAGTAAAATAAAGTGATTTGAGAATTAGTTCTCATTCTTAGGTTCAAAACCAATGTTGATCCTTAAGGATATTGATATTATTTTTCCTATTTTCCTCCATCCTTTAGAGAGAATGGTTTCCCAAACTTGACTTTGTCTTGAATCTGAAATTGGTAGAGGGTGGAGGCACCCTTGTCCCTAAGCTGGACGAACGTCTCGAGGTGTGGGCTGTTGGCTTTGGGAGGGGACGTGGAGCTGAGAGCGTGTCCAGCTGCTGTCACTTTAGGGCTGCACGTGCGTGAGACTTTGGTATCATCATTGATGAATGAGCCCCAGAATGCGGCTGGCACCTCTGGCCCGGTGGTGTCAAGCCTCCAGGATTTTCTTGGCTCTCCTGACCTTTATCAGCTTTTCTTAGCATTAGGTGGAGCTGCTGCAGGACACAGAGGAGAGAGCTCAGGATTGGGTGTCAAGAGACTTGGGGTCAGAAAGCGTGTTATCAAGTCCTGGCCTCGTCCTTCCCTAGCTCAGCAACCTAGAGAATTCTCCCACCTGTGGTACGGAAATGATGAGTCCTGCCTCTTGGGGTTGGGTCAAGTGACATATCGAACCTGGAAAGATTTGGGAAAAGGAGTCTAGTCCTTTAAAAATTAATGTTCGCTAAATTTAGTGCATATGCCTCTTAAGATGTAATTGGAGGGTGGTTGAAGGACTAAGTGCAAGGAATTAAGATTTTGACGATTTATATATCTTTGCTTGTACCCCCTGTGTACATAAAGCTAACTCCATACTTAGGACCTAGACTTGTGGTCTTAGTAGACCCATGCTACTGATATCTGGAATCCTTGTTACTTCACCCATTTGTTTTACTTAACAAACCCTTACGTAGCTCTGACCAGGTGCTCCACAAGTACTAACTTAGTCCCCCGACATACTTAGGACCTAGACTTGTGGTCTTAGTAGACCCATGCTACTGATATCTGGAATCCTTGTTACTTCACCCATTTGTCTTACTTAACAAACCCTTACGTAGCTCTGATCAGGTGCTCCACAAGTACTAACTTAGTCCCCCGACACCCCGTGGAAGCGCCACTTTGTGCAGCACAGAGCCTGGCGTGCGCTGAGGCACCGTCCACATCACATCCTCACCACTTCCTTCCTGTGTCAAGTGTGTAGGGCTGCCTTTCGTTAGTACCATTTTATAAACAAGGAAACAAGCCTCAAAGAGGTTTCAGTAAACTGGAAATAGAGCAGGACCCTGTGGGGCTCCTGGGCACGGAAGCCTTTCCGACCCCCGTTTTTTGTTTGTAGACAAGACTCCAGCCTCCATGACCTTCCCTGAGTTCCAAAGGGCAGGTTCAGACAGTTGCTGAGCAAAGCAAGAGCAGCCAAGAAACCACCTGAGGCGAGATTAAAGGGACCCGAGAAGCTCATCAAGATTAGGAGAGGGGCTTCCCTGGTGGCGCAGTGGTTGGGAGTCCGCCTGCCGATGCAGGGGACACGGGTTCGTGCCCCGGTCCGGGAAGATCCCACATGCCGC